GGGGGGGGGGGTATATATATATATATATATATATATATATATATATAAACAGTTGACTGTTTAGTAGCAATTAATGGAGTGAAAATGTGAAAAAAATTCCACTATAAAATAAAATCAGTTGATTGATTTAAAACCACATTTAGTAGTTACATAAATCTTGTTGTGTGAAGGGTTGTTTTAATAATCAGATTGAGTTTTCAATTTGGCAATTGCCTAATGTCATCTTAGTCACATCAGAGACAGAAGTGACCAACTGGAGAGAGATACCAGAGCTGATTGGATAGAAACTTGTACTATTTTCAGGCCTAATGTATGGTACTGCCTTCATAACTAATAGCACAAAGATCAAGTTAGACAGTTGTGAGTAAAAATGTTTCAGAAAATATGAGTCCATTGAAACCAGAAGCAAGTGTCATGGATGGGGAAACTGGTTTCACATCCAACAGACTGTATATTGCCCACTCCAAGGTGGGTGATCATGTAATTGCCTAGATATTGTGTGCATGTGTTATTTTGTCTGTCTGTTATCAAAATATCTCGTGAATCGCTATATGAATTTTAATGAAGCTCTATGAAAATAATCAATGTACATCTATATTAACAAACTTTTGAAGCAAACGTAATTCAAGCTGGCTGCCTCTACAAAGTGACATGAGTAAACACAAAATTAACTACACCAACCATTTTAACAGATGAACAGAAATTCAGTGTAGTAGTAACTGAGATTAATCCCAAATAAATACTCTGAACAATAAACCATTTGCAAGAGCTCTTTTAAAACTTTGGCTTTAAATATGTCAGTCTTGTCTGTCTATTTGCAAAATATATTGTGACCCTCCTAACAAATTTTGAAGAAACTTTAAAAAAAGGTATTGGCTGCTCCTCATCTGCAACTGATTAATTTTTCATGTCAAACAGTAATGATAATGTGACTGATCTGGTGCGGAAGGTATTTTTTCTTTGTATTCTCATTTTTGTTTGTATGTTCAAAAATCAATAGAAAGATTTTTTTTTAAAAATAAAAACAGAGTAATGATGGCTGCCAAAGCTAATCAGTCAAAGCAAATACATTTTTCTGCCATTTGTACATATATTGAACATGTTTTGGTGTGGTAGTAGTAGAGGCTCATCTTCATCACGCACTCTGAGAACTTTGCCTGTGAGGATATTGCCCCCTAGTGGTGAGTCTTGGTCCTGCTCCTCATAATCTGTCTCCTTTCATGCACCTGTTATGCATCGCAGGTGCCTGCACTTGTCTTGTTAGCATTCTGTATTTAAGTCTGTGTCTGAGTGTTTGTCGTTGTCTAGGCATTGTTTGGTGATGTCATTTGGCTCCTCGTGTTTCTTTACATGTTTCCTGAATAAGTGAGTTTTGCTGCCACAACAGCTCTTTTGTTTATTTAATTACAATTTTTTGTTTTACCTCCTAGATCTCTGAGTCCTGCCTGCATTTGGGTTCAACCATTGCACCAGATTGTGTCAGAATGCCCAGACCAAAACATGAACCCAGCAGGTGGGTGACTTTGACCAAGTACCTGGCCCAAGAAGCCGCTTGGACTGCCCAGTGGGAGCAAGTGTAGGAGGAGGAATCTGTCATCAAGTGGAGCGGATTCTGGACCGAACCTGTCCAAAGACAATGACACCACAGCCTGAAGGTGGAAATCCTGCTGTCGCCTCTTCTGGTGGAGGAAGAGGAAAGGGGGAGGTCTCAGCTCATCGGAAGCCGTCTGGCTTTCAAGCCTAGTTTTTTCTCCTCTTTGATGCTTTGCTCCTCATGTGAGTTTTTTTAATTGACATCTGAGGAGGATGCAGAGCCCAAACCTGAGGAGCTCACACCAACACCACCGGAGGAGCCGATGATGAACCCAGAACCGGTCCACTGAACTTCCACCAGTAGCTCTTGCACCCCCAACCTTTTCCACTCAGCCCAGCAAGGCTAATCCTCAAGGGACACCTGCTCCCAGTGTCTCATGAATGCTGGCCACAACAACCCACCTGTCCTAAGCATCTCAGTGGGTGTCGGCCACAACGACCCATCTGCCCTCGGTATCTCATTTGGTGTTGATGAACTACCTGTTCCCAGCATCTTAATGTGTGTCAGCTGCGACAATCCACCTGCCCTCAGCATCTCAGTGGGTGTCTGCCACAACAACCCACCTGCCCTCTGTGTTTCAGATGCCTTGATGAATCACCTGCTCTCACCATCTCAGTGGGTGTTGGCTGCAATGACTCACCTTCCCTCAGCATCTCAGTGGATGCTGGGCTGGCCACAGTGATCCACCTGTCTTCAGTGTCTCAGTGGGTGTCAACTGTGACAACCCACCTGCTCCCAGCATTTCTCCCGTGTCGGCAGCTCTTCCTCCTTTGCCTCTGGTGGTGCCTGTTCAGTCAAGCGAGGCTGAACCTCCTGAGGACCCACCTCATCCGAGGAAGCGGCATAGACTTGATGAGGCTGAACCTCCCAAGGACCCGTCTCAGTCGACAAAGCAATAGAAACTTGACAACAACCCACCTCCACGTCTCCCAGTGGGAGTTAATTATGAGGGTTCCACACCTTGTGGGGCTTCCACACCTTGTGAGGGTTCCAGGCTGCCTCATGAGGATTCCATGCCTCTCAAGGTCTCCGCACCTCGTGAGGGTTCCATGTCTAGTGAGGATTCTACGTCTCATGAGGGTTTCACATCTCCCAAGGGTTCCATGCCTTGTGAGAGTTCCACTCCTCCTGTGAGTTCCACGCTGCCTCCTGTGGGTTCCACACCATCTCATGAGGATTCCTCGTCTTCTCAGGTTTCCATGCATTGTTAGGGTTCCACTCCTTGTGAGGGTTATTTCAACCTTTATTTATACAAGTTAAACCCATTGAACCCCAGGGTTCCATGCCTTGTTAGGATCCCACGCCTCTTAAGGGCTCCATACCTCATGAGGGTTCCACTCCTCCCAAAGTGGCTGAGGCCCCTGTAGTGGCTAAGTCCCTGAAGTGGCTAAGTCCCCTGAAGCAGCTATGCCTCCCCCTACCCCGGAGGTCTCGACGGTGGCTGTAGTTCCTGAGGTCTCAATGACAGCAACAGCCTCCCTGGTCTCAAAGACAGCTGCAAGCCTGCTGGTTCCTGTGCCTGCTGCAGGTCTGCTGCTTCCTGCACCTGCTGCAGAGCCCCTGGTTCCTCTGCCTCTCCTCCCCATGCTGGATGGTTGTCTGTGTCTTTCATGGTGTCTATCATCATTGGTTCTCCACCTGAACTGATGCTACATGTTGGACGGTCTCCCAGCCGCCCACCCGAACTGATGCCACGTGTTAGACGGTCTTCCGGCTGTCTGCCAGAGCTTCTCCTTGGCAATGGATGGTTCCGATCATCTACCTGAATGGTTTAGTGTTTACCTTTATTGTGTCTAATTCCCAGGCTCAATCCTGTTGGGATTTGTTTTATTTGCTTGTGTTCCCCATGTGCCCTCCATGCTTTGGTCCCCCCCTTGGGGAGTCAGAGGATGTCTTGTGGGGGTGGGGGTGGGGGGTGGGGTGGGGGTGGATACTGTGAAGATAGTGCCCCCTTGTGGTGTGTCTTGGTCCTGCTCCTCTTGAAAACAGTCTTGGTTCCTACACCTGTTATCCGTCACAGGTGCCTGAACTTGTCTTGTTAGTATTTTTGTATTTAAGTCTGCGTCTGAGTGTTTCTTGTTGTCTGGACATTGTTTGGTGATGTGTCGTTTGGCTCCTCGTGTTTCTCTACGGATTTCTTGGATAAGTGAGTTTTGTTGCCACAACAGTTATTTTGTTTATTTAATTAAAGTGTTTTCATTTTAGCTCATGGGTCTCCGAGTCATGCCTGCATTTGGGTTCAACCACTGCACCAGAATGTGACATTGCTATTCAAGTGGAGAGCAATGCTTTCCTTTGAGGAATGCTGCTTTCATTAAACCCCTTTTCCAGGTTTAATTATTTTTTTAGAAACAATAGGCCTATGTTAACGTGTTTGTTAAAATTCCAAACTAGACTGAAGAGACAAAAATATTGACGTTGACAGAGGAAAATACAGCTTTTCCAACCTTCAAATCGCATTTTCTGTTTAAAATGAATGCTTTGGCAAACGAGTATATTGTTTATGCTTCTCAAAATGTATCTTATTTCAATCATTTTAATTCAGTTGCTAATCTGTGGTCCTTAGATTATTTATTTAACATCAACATATTAGTTTAATGTTGCTATAAATGTTTGTCAATAAGCTTCCCATTTTACCATCTACATGTTCTCCCAAGGAAAACTAAAGTGGGCGGAATATTTGGAGGTGGAAATCTTCCACGGGACTTGAACGCAGCATGTAGCATCCTAAGAGAGAGAGAGAGGGAGAGGAAGCTCCAATGAAGAGCAGTCGGATCTTCTTTCAAACACACCACGCTCCACATCCCTCACACACATGCAAGCCGATAACCCAAGCAGCATCAGCCCTCACCGCCGCCGCCGCGGGTGGCAGCCCTCACCGCCTCCCCCCAACACAAAGCAAGGAGACAGCTGTCGAAAGAGGAGCTCTTGCTGCCTTCTCTGCACAAGACAGACACCAGAGAGTGGAGAACTGGGGACCTCGTTTCCGAAACGGTGGATCAGCATAGATAGAAAGAAGTAGTGAGAGCACTCCAGTCCAGCTGCTGCTGCTGCTGGAGGAAGAGGAGGAGGAGGGAGGAAGCTGCGTTCGGATGGAGAAGAGGAGCAACACAACCAGAAGAAACGGCCACAAGTGAGCAGAGTGCCTGCAGGCTTGTAGATGTGCAGAAGGCACAGTGCAAGTTCAAGTCCTGGGTGAGTCCATTTTTCCTCCTTTATGCAAAAAGCGCGTGTGGTGTTGAATTTTTTTTGCTCCCTTTTGTGAATTATACCTTCCACCCACCTAACTATGAAATCCATCCCATGCAGGGACACCAGCTCACCCCCTCAGCTGCTCCTCACCCCGTCATGGTGCAGTCCCGACTGATCGATTTGCTCTTTAACTCTTATGGACACCAGCTCTCCTTATCTGTCTCTGTGCTTTTTAATTCTTGTAGCTGATTCTGTTCATACGTGTGTGTTTGAGCCTTTGGTGAGCAGGTTTCAATTAGGATTTAATGATGTAAACACTTGGTGGGAGAGATAAGGCAGCCTTTGATTGATCCCTGCAGTTATTTCAGTGGGACCACATGGCGTTTCTCAACCTTTGCTCAGACCTCCACTGGCTCTGCTCCTGATTGTATCAGTGTGCATGCACAGTTTTTCAGTGCAGCATCCATGGACTCTGATGATTAACCTAAAGTGGGCTTTAATTTCATGCCTTGTTTGTCACAGACCTGACACTGCACTCAGAACAAGGCATGTGCAATTCAAGACGCAACTTTCTGTTATATAAGTACAGCATTTTCATTATTTAGTGGCTTTTTCCTGGTGCATACAAAGTAGATATAAAATGTCTAACAAGTGCACCAGAAAACTACTTCCTCCATGTTTTTGTACCCAGACTTTTACAGCTCTGTACATATCAGCCACTGATCTTCTCAAAGGTTTCTGCAGTGCCATGTTAAAATATACTAATTAGTTAAAACAATCAAAGGAAACGATATCTGCACATTTTGTTTCTCATATTAATGGTTACTATGTTCTTACATCAAAAGTTTGTAAGCAAAATTTGTGAACGGCTGCCAAATACCATGAGTTTGTTTACCTACAATAATAGCTGAAGCAACTGAAGATGTAGATGTTCATAGAAAAGCCATTTGGGATGCAGTTAAAAATCTTTGATGCAGTAAACTTACAGATTTAGCAGTTTAGCAAAAGCTGATCTGGACTGAACTCTGATGGCGCTCTGGCATCCTGCTTGATCCCTAATATTTATTCTTGACAGCTGTCTTGATCTTTGTCCTTTCTTTTATGTTTAGAGACAAATTCGTTACATGTCAATCGCTTGTCCAGTTCCACTGTATTTGTTTACCTACACCAGGGGTCTGCAACATTTTTGATCAAAGAGCCATTTCTGGCCCTTCACTCATTAAATTAAAAAGAGCTTGAAGACGCAAAACCTGCTACAACTGTTCTGATCAACTTGCGGCCCTTGGGCCACTTTGAGTTAGTTGGATGGGGCTTTTCTGACCAATGGGGGTGACATTTTAAAAATAATACTCAGTAATTGATTTCAACATTTATTGATGTTTTTACATTTTGGGACAAAAAATAATTATGATGTAAAGAAGAAAAACTTATAGATTCTACCTTTAAATGAAAATGAAAACACTGAACTCTGCAGGACTATGTGGCCTTTTATGTGAGGTGATATTAAGTATTGCTCTTTGAAATGATGAAGCAAAAATAGTGTCTTTCAAACATTTTCAGAAAATTGACAAAAATAACAAAACTAAAACTAGTCTTTTTTGTTGTTGGTATAAAAACCAAAGTAATTAGATTTCCTTCAAGTTTTGGTCAAAGCTTCCTAGATGAGGGACTAAAGAGCTGCATGTGGCCCCAGAGCCACAGGTTGCAGACCCCTGACCTACACAAACAATGGCCAGTCTAACGTAGGTCAATCACATGACTGACGCTGTTTTTTGACAAGCTCATCCAACTGCTTTGTTTACATGGAATGCCTACCTGCATTCTAGAAATGCATATCAATACACCTGGGAAACATCTGGAGTAACCTCTTTAAAACTGCACCATTTGCCATAGTTCAGGACCCAACATTTATGTATTTTTATCATTTGCAGTGAGTACCATTAATTGACCAGCATTTAACTGATAATGAAAGCATGAAGATCCACATATGTGGTACATTTTAAAATGACCAACCGAACTGCTGAATTTCACCATTTCCACCATGATGCCTGCTTCTTGTACGCTGCTGTGACAGAAGAGTTGCTGCTCATTCAGTTAGTCGTCTTGGACTTTTATCTTGAGACGTTTTTACAGGGAAGTGAAGTAAGCAAAAAAAAAACCTTTGGAAAAATAATGTCTATATTTCATATAGGCCAAAGGCTTTTCAGTTGGTAAAGCTTGTTTTTAAGTTGTTCAGTTAATGTCGTTTTTTATTTTTCCTTTTTTATTTTTATTTTTTTTAAGAAATACCATTACAAGTGCTGGGTAAATTAAAAGTTTGTTAAAAAAGGCTTATATAGGGGTTAACGTTTTTGTTTTTACTTCTTATATATATAAAAAAAAACAACCTTTGAGTTTTATAATAGTTTTGCTCACATTTCAGGATAAAAGTAAAAACATAAGTTGTCTGAAATTTACTTTTAACCATATTTGACCTCTAGTATGATTTGTTGCAGTGGCCGTTTTGAGCTGGGTTGACTCCACATCTAATGATTACTATCAGAAAGTTTCATTAAAGTCCGTCCAGTGCAGGCAGGCAGACAAACACGCACATAAGCAATTACACAATTGGTTATCTTTCATCTTGGCAGGTGATAAAAATGTAAATTTTGCAAACGTTGCAAGTCAAACTGAGTTCTAAAAGAAAAGAAAACGCCCCAGGAGAACTGCACGTGGGATTGCTTGGGATTGCAAAATATTTCCTGGATAATTAGGCAGACTGAATTGTGGAGCAATGGTTTATATTTCACACACACACCAGCAAATGCATGCCCTTCAAGTGGCGTTTAAGGAAACACAATTATCTGTGCATCCTTACAAAACTTCACTGAAATGTGTTGAAAATAATCGGTTGTGAAAAGCTGCCCATTCAGTTTAGAATGAATGGATCATGCTCCTGCGGCAAAATGATAACCATTTTAATAGTGGAGGCAAAAAAAAAAAAGTATTTAATTAAATACAAACAAGTTTTGGAGGCAAAAATCAGACAAGACCCTTTTTTGTTCTCTTGAAAATATAAAAGATAAATAATGATCTTGCTCCAACTGATAGAATGTGTCAGCTTTAACATTTAGCCTTTTGGAAATCAGATGACTGCCACTGTGTGCGTCCTCTTCTCGTCTGTGCTGCTGTATTCCTGCTTACTTGTCAAGAACGGCTATAGTCCAAACATCACGAGGATAAAAAAAAAAGTAGTGAAGCAAAAACAATTATTCAAAAGCGCTTAATGGTACCCGAGGTGCCACTTAGCCTCCTTGTTTGACAGATTGATGTGTCAGTAATGAAATATGTGCTGACGGGTCTGTGTCCCTCGGAGTGTGTCGTTGAATCAGGCCTGTTAGTCTTGTCCATTACGATGCCCACGCTTACCTTTTCATTTTCAGCCTTTCTGCTGCACATAAAGCTGCTGTCCCACCTGTGTAGTGACATTACTTCAGCTTAGCACCGCCGATACCCAGACAAGCTCATTGTTTTCAGTTGCGGAGTATTTATGAGGGCGGTAAAACAGAGATGCATCTGCTGTCAGCAAGATAGAGGCATTGCAGCTTTTTGAGGGACGGGGGAGAGCAAATGGAGGGTGCGGAAGGAGGGATACAGTGGTGGAGGAGTGCATTTGGGGGCTTCAGTACCTGCAGGCATGCTGATACGTCATCTGCTACTGGAAGTCCAGCTGGAACAATGGTGGTGCTGTGTGCACATCCTGACTGTCCTCCCACTCACTGACTGGTGTAATGCCATTTCAGATGTGGCTGGAGCCTCAGTGCAGGGCTCAGGGAACATCTGGGTCTTACACTTGTTTACAGCTCCAAATGTGATTGACATTTGTGGTGACAGAGACAAATGGCTGACCTTGTTTGAAAAGGTAGTTTTCAAACTTTTATGGTTTCAATTACAAAGTTTTAAAATAACATTCATCTTATGTTTAGTCAGCATTTGCCAGCAAAGATTTAAGTGACAAAAGAGTTACATGATACCCAAAAATGGCATTACAAAGTGAACATTTTTTTCAATGTATTTGGAAATAAGAAAATGGGAATGAGATGATTTTGTGAAGTGCATTTGCATAATGAACAATGAACAAATTATATTTAATCATTCATCCAATAATCTCATTATTCTTTGTATGTATCCATTTATTCATCAACTTTTACTATTTTAGCTGTTTATAAATGACTTTAGGCACATTTAAAATGCTTTTACATGTAACTCCTGACAGATGTAAAAACTGCTGATAGTATTTTCTTGGTTTCTAGAAGAAAAACTTTACCTGGTGACCTTAGTGGTTGAAAGTTTAAGCACATCTCTAAATGATGCTTAGAAAAACAAGTGTTGGATGTTAATTGAGAGGAAACAATTTTTTTTATTCAAAATGATGCTACAACATCTTACAGTGGAAAGTGTGCTGAGGTGCATGACAAATTAGCAAGGCAGTGTAGAAACACAGTGCTGCATAGTGCAGTTTGTCATTACAGAGCTATTTATTTCTCTGAATCTAACAGCGCCATAAGCAACTAGAGCTTTTATTGTGGTATTTGAAACCAAACTGACTCAAAGCAGAGGTATTAAATTAGAAATTGACCAATTCAGGTTTTCAAAGCAGATGAAGAGATTTTTGGTAATTAGAGTAGCTGATGACCAATTTATGTCATCATTTTGTCTGTTTAGATGACAGCTTAAAATTTTACATTGCAGTAAATTGCCTTTGAGTTAGTGATTTTAGCCCTCTGCCCAACGAGGATAATTATGTTCACACTTGTACTCCAGTTTATTAAAGGCTTGCAAGTTGGCAGCTCTGATCAGATTTTTTTCTCTACAAGTAACATTACTATTAAAACAATTAAAGCCCCATCTACATAATTCTCTATATTTATTTATTTTATTATATATTTTTCCCTATCCTTTTAAAATAATTCAGATTACTCCAACAAAATGGCAAAACATCCATGCTGCATCTCTATGTTGCA